GCATCCCGAGCCCGGCCCGGCCCCGCATCCCCAGCCCGGCCCGGCCCCGCATCCCCAGCCCGGCCCGGCCCCGCATCCCCAGCCCGGCCCAGCACCGCATCCTAAGCCCGGCCCGGCACCGCAGCCCCAGCCCGTCCCAGCACCGTCTCACAGCTTCCCCACTGCCTTGGTGTTACGTGAGACGGAGAAAACACAACAACATCATCATCACGACTTAAGAAACGCCGTGCAAGGAGGATCTGTACCCCGCAATGCCCTAGGAAGGCCCCCGGGCTGCACACGCAGCAGAGCACAGGGTGATGCTGCACCGGGAAGCTCCGGGGCTGGGCAGGATGCAGCCTGTACCCTTGTGCTCCCCGAGCCCTCCCATTTCACAGCCTGGCTGTTCTCAAGGGTAAAAAGAAACCTAAGCAACCTGTTTACCAAACACTGCCTTCTCCATCAGTGCAGGTGCCCCTCCTGAGCTCACCCAAGGCACAGCTTTGCCTACCTGGGCATTCCAGCCTGGCAGTTGTTTCATCAATTTTCAAATGCATGTCACACTGGAATTTGGATTTTTTCATATATATATATATTTAAATCTTCAATCAATGTAAGAGAGAAGCATATAAACTTTATATCTCTATTGGCACATTTTCATGGCAGTTTCAATAAAGCTATTTTAATCTCAGGTGTTGGATGTAAATACTATATTGGAGCTTCTCTAACTCTATAGCCTTCTTTTGGCTTATACAACCTCCAGTTATAAAATACAGCCCTTTCTTGAACAAAAGCCAAGATCTTAGAAAGGATCAAAGAATAAAAAGCAGAAATTAATTTGCCAGGAGATTGATTTTTTTTTTTTTTATGTCACACATATAAAATTGTCTCAAACCTCAACCCTTTTTTATCACCATCGTTGCTGCAGCATCACAGTTTCCACAGGGGTGGGATGAGGGCAGTATCCCAGTGCTGCATCCACCAGAACAGGGTGGGAATTTTCCTCTCTGAAATGTGAAGTTGGTTCCTCTCAGCCATCCAGACCAGGGAGACAGGCTGAGCTTTTATAACACAGGTCACTGCACCAGGAGAAGCTGCCCATGAGCCAACATTGCTTCTTACTGAAGCTGAATTATGTTTATCTATTCTGAAAACAAAGTCTCAGAGGGATGTGCTGGAACACAGACCAAATCCCTGCTAAGCCCACAGTTTCAACATGTGTCAACAGCAACAGCCAAGTCAAGATTTGTCACTGCAGTAGGAGGTGGTCTCACTCTGGAGACTATGACAGGATGAAAGAAAGATTATTCTTAACAAAGATGTATCTTCAGGGCATCCACACACATTTTTAGGGTAGTATGAGCCCCTCATGGTGCTCACCTTTCTTGGAGGAGCAATCACTGCAGCACATGGTATTTGAGGGAAGAAAAATGAATCCCAAAAAGTCTTGGTGAGACAGGGATCTGCTTCCTTGCCAACCCTGACCTGTAGGGTGATTTCAGGGTCTGTGGAAGTTGGTCCTGACCCTCTGTGTGCCACAAGTTCAGTAACCTACACGTGTCGCTCCCTCACGTGAAGGGAAAAACACTCCCTTGAGAAAAAAAGTGACTCTGTTACTCAGAAAGTGCTCCCAACCCTTGGGCTCAGGTGGGGCAGGAGAAGCCCATCTGTGCTGAGCCAAGTCTGTTATAAGAGTGCAAAGTCCCAAGAAACTCAAGAGAGATGATGCTGTAAGCATTGCAACACAGCAAAAAGCTCCCAGCTAATCCACTGTCCAAGACCACAGTGTTTCCAGCCAGTGGATGAGCAGGTCCATGAAATGAAGGCTGGGATGGGCAGGAGAAGAGTCTAAACAAACAGTGTGTGGGGACCTGGGAGCGCAGAGGGACATGATGTAACATGTCACCCTGAAGCTCATCACAAAGCCTTATCTGGCCCAGGTCTGTCTGGTATCAGCCCTTCACTGCAACATTTCTGTAAGGGAAGATGAAGTCCTACCTCCAAGACAAGTTCCTTTTGCTCCACTTGGTGACAGCCTGTGTGTGTCTCCTCCTCCTGGCCGGCGCGGTGGCCAAGTCGGGCAGCGAGCAGCGAGGGGTCTTCATCAGCTCCAGTGTGGCTTCATCTAGGGTTAGAAAACAGTCATAGAAATCAGAGGGATGCTGGGTTAGGAAATACCAAGGGGAGCTGGGGGAAGGGAAGGGCAGAGGGTGCAGCAACAGAGTGAAAGCCAGCCCCTGGGAGCTGCTGGGCCATGATCCCAGCCCCAACATCCTCCTCAAGGCACCCAGCCCCATCCATAGCACAGCTGCACCCACCAAGGGCAGCAAGTCCTGCTGGAAGCCCATTTCTTCAATACACCCACCAGCAGGGGCTGCTGGGAGGTCAGGGGAGATGAGACCCCCCCCCCGGGCAGGGGGTTGGGCACCAGCTCAGCTGGTAGCAACACTGGGTGGTTTTATGGATTGCAGAGGAAAATGCAGCAGGTTACCTTGTGTGTGACACTTGACACATCCCCAAAGCATGTGTAGAAAAACCACCTGTAGCCAGCTTTGAGTATATTCTAGACTAAACATTTTCTATTATTTTGCTTTATTCTCTCTTGCTGAATTTCCCATTATTTCCCTGGCAGAGCAAAGGATATGTATGTAAATAAACTATAAGCTGTATCTCTGTTCAGCTAGGAGATTATTTGGAAAATGTTCCTTCTCATTTATTTTCAAAACTGAATGAAAACTTCTAGCTCCTGTTCTTTTCTGCTGCAAGGCAGACAAGCTGTCTGTTCACCCATTTCCCATGCTGGCTTTACCTCTTTACTGAAAAACTTGTTTTCAAATGCCAACACTTGTCCATGACAAACCCAGGGCAGCCCCCCCAGGTCAAACACCCTTTCTAAAAGTGAAGATACAAATGCATTCAAAGAGCCACCCTCACTCCTGGGACTCCTTCAGCTTGTGATGAGGTGGGAGAGAAATAATTGCACTTGCTCAATTGAGTGTGGAGAGGGAAAGCCTAGTGATGGGATGTGGCCAGGAGCTGCTCGGGTGGCAGCTGCTGTGGGGGACCAGTGAAGGGCTGCTGGGGGCACTGGGGTGTACAGAGACAAGGCTGCTAATTAGCAGGTCCTCGTTAATTCTGCCCCGAGCAGCGGAAGCAAGCTGGAGAGCAGACAGATGCCCTTCCAAGGGCTGGGATAATGCTGGCTTTCTCCTGCCCTCAATGAGGACATTGAGAGGAACAACCCTGGCCATGCTGGGGACACGTGTCCCTTCAGCCTGGCCTTGGGCTGCTCCCTCCCAGCTGTCCTGGGCTGGCTGGGGGTGCCTGGAGCTGTTGCAGCTCAGCAAGAGCCAAGAGACCCCCACCCCCCCCTCCAAGCCCAGGCACCTCGTGGCTCTGTGTCATGGGAAGGAGCAAGCAGCACTGGGGTGATGTGACACCATCCTCCTCCCTCCTCTAGCTGTGAAGAAACCAGAATATCTACATATACAAATTATGAGGCTTAATCAGGATTTTTGTTCAACTCAAGCGGTGCTGTAATTAAGGTTCTGCAACAGTCAACCTACCAGCCTTAGTTTCTGTTTTTGTTTTGTAGGGTTTTATTTTTCCCTCTGTTTTTCTTCTTTGAACGCACCAAGAGCTATTTTAAGCACAGGAGGAACCCCAAGGGTGTGTGGGTCTGGTAAAATAATTGCTTGCCTCAGGTTCTTGAAAGCAGAATGCAACAAAGCACCTGAGCCATGTAATTATTCTTACAGCTGCAAACTGGGCCATATGCTACACCCACGTGAGCTTTTCCTGGAGATGATGCTACTCCACAACTCAGTACTGAGTCCTCCCTCTCCTTCCTGGACCTGCAAGGTGCTGTCCCTGCATCCCTGTGCACTGCAGTGAGGAGGGATCAGCAGCCACTGACCCAGGACGCCCGTTGCCTCCAGCCCCCCGAACTGCTGCATGGCTGTGATGGCCTTGGTGAGCTCCTCCTGGGTCTGCAGCTGTCCTGTGACAGGATCTGGAGGAGGCAGGTATCCAAATTTTGTCAGCCAGTCCTGTGAAACAAGGAGAAGATAGGGGGGATAAGAAACAGGAAGGAAGGAAATAGATGTACACAGAGAAACCTGCTCCAAAGGTCCGTCTGTTCCTCTTGGAAATCCTTGTCCCATTTACATATTTATGCCCAACTTGACTCTTCATTACTTCAGGATTTGGATTTGAAACAAACCCAACCATAAAGTCCCCAACCCTACTCCACTCCATGCAGTTATTCAAGACCAGGGGTGGATGACCTCAGTGCTGGCAAAAACCCAGGCCCTTTGGAGAAAAATCACAATGGAGACACAACGTGCCAAGCTGCTTCCCTGGTGGCCACTGTGGGACCTCAGTTTTGTCCCTTCCCACCAGATCCCAGGCAACACAGGTGCCATAGCTGCAAAGTCTTGCAGTCTTCAGTCCAGGAACTGAAATGCTCTCCTTGGGAGACCTGGTGGTTTCCCACTGGTGCCATCACCCCCAAGACACGTCAGGGAGGGGTATGGGGACAGGGAACAGAGGAAAACCCTTTGACTGACTTCCCCTAAAATTTGGCCAACACCAAAGTGTTGTTCCTTGTGACTGATGGCCCTTGTCATTTAGAAAAAGGAAAAAAAAGACACAAATGGATTAAAAAAAAAAAAAGTTGTTCCTTGTGACTGAGGGCCCTTGTCATTTAAAAAAAGGAAAAAAAAGACACAAATGGGTTAAAAAAAAAAAAAAAGCACTGTAAGAAAATCCCACTGAGGATGGTGTCAGGTCTCTTAACTTCAGAGGCTGTATTGGCAGAGTTGCACTCATCCCAGCAGCACCAGAAGTGCCAGGACTGGCTTAATGGTGAAGCCAAAACCCCAGTCACCTGCAGCTCCTGAGGACTGACTGATTTCTGAAGAGAAATAAATGGCTTTTCTCTTTGTGGCCTCCTCTCCAACATTTCCACATGCCCTGGTTTAACCACGTCCCTGTCAGTTGCCTCGACAGCCTCTAGAGCCAGGCACGGGTGGGGGGACCTGTGAAACACCCACATCTCCCTCTTTGCCAAAGCCTGAGCAAGCACAGCCAGCACCAGCCACCCCCCCAGCACAGGTGCCTCCTTCAAACCAAGACTACCATTGGGCAGGAATTTATCTTGCCAAGGACAATGCATCTTTATGAACATCTTCCTCTTTCCAGCCAAACCCGGTGAAAAAAACCATCTCCATAAACCTCCTTCTTGCAACAACTTTTTCAAACGTCTGGTGAATTATTTTTCTAAATCCTTTCTTACCTTCCCTCTTGCTCCCTCCTGCTCTCAGGAGAAAGATCAACAAAGAATAATAATCCAGCATGCAAGGAATGCCAGAAACACCTACTCTTTATTTTCTTTATCTGTACCTAAGGGACACTGATCTATTGAGCCTCTTGGAGCCTGGTATTGATCTAGACCCCAGTGCAGTCAATACTGCTCAGATGTATCCCAGTCAGAGCAGTGCCAGGGGTTGGTACCTGCTTATCACCACCACCTGAACATCTCACAACTCAGTGTCATTTGCAGCAGCCCCTTCAAATGCCACAGCACCCCCAGACCCTCTCTGGCAAGCCCAAACAAACAACTTCCCACTCACAGAGCTTTACAAACACATCTCCCCACACTTGGTGTGGCTCTCCATTGGGGAACGTGGTCTCCCATGCTGGGTTTCTCACCATAGTTACCTTCCCTCCTCACCCTCCTTCATGGCTGCCCTATTGTAGCAGGGGGCAGTGTTAGCCACAGAAAGCAGTTTGTCTGGCCATTTCTTGATGCTTCATGCCACCACCTTACTAGGAGCACATTAGCAATGTCCCAGTCCTCCCTTATCATCAGGCTGAAGGCCAGGCCAAGCACTCTCTCCTCCTCTACCTGCTCCAAGTTGTCCCTTTGCCAAGCAAAAGCATTTGAGACAGAAATTTGAGATACAATTTGCCTTTGATTGGTCGTGAGGAATGAGCTGTGACATGGAGCTCAGCAGCCAGCCCATCAGCTGATGAGGATGGTGGGGTTTAATTTGCTTTCTTCCTTGGCCATGGAGACAGTGTCATTTATTCTCTAATGACAGTGGAGCCAACACTGCACCAGAGATGTACATAACTCAGCTTTGCTCAGGTCCTCCTGGAGAGGGAGGTAGTAACAAAACACCAGGGAAAGCAAAGGCACAGTTAAGTCCAGCAAAGGTCCTGTTGCTCTGGCCAGGTTGAGATCTTCTCTCTTTCTTAACTCAAAGGGACAGAGAGGGTACAAACACAACTGGGCATCCCAAGCAAGTGGGGGGTCCCTAAAGAAAAGATAGAAGAAATGGGCAGATATCACAAGCCACATCTGACCTTCCAAGCACTGACTTTCCTGCATGTGATTCTTCATGTAGAGCATCATGTTTCTCATGACTTACTCAGGTTCTTCATAATTTTATGGTCCTCTGAGAGCAATTTCATTTGTCTCTTCCACTGTGTGGGTTCTGGCCTGTTTCCTCTCTCCTCATAAGCAAAGCTGATCCATAATATTGAACTTTCACATTCCACCTTTGCTGTGGCAGAAAATTTCATTAGGGAAAATGCAGCTGAGTTTGAAGATGAGAAAGATCAGC